AAATTTCGACTTTAAGTAGCCATTTTGGACGGATTTAGCCATTTTGGACGGTAGCCATTTTGGACGGATGCCATTCAAAAGGCATTGTTGTTCTGAGCCTAAGTTTGAAAAGATATTTCACCTGTAATCATTTTTCGTAAAGTTATTGGGGTTTAAAAATTACCATTTTGGCCAATTTGGGACAATTAACGCGCGATATATTTTGCGCTATCGCTATGAACGCGTAAGCGGAGATTTAATCGGTCAAAGAACTCGTCCAAATTGGTTGAAAGAAGCTTATTTGTCACAATTGATTTGTTTCTAGGAGCGAAATTTATCACTTTGTACTTAATATGGCCTGTGGAAAAAAACGTTCATTTTAATTTTATTACAATATATTTTTTCATTTTATTACTGCTCCATGGACTGCTCTATAAATTGAGGCATGTTAGTTGGTAATTTTCTTTTATATATATATATATATATATATATATATATATATATATATATATATATATATATATATATATATATATATCAAAATGACTGGTACTGCAAATGCGTCATAATTGGCGTGCGTCACTTCAGAAATTTTGTAGACTCAAAGTTTTAATCATTCGATTTTTCCCAGTAGCGTTATCGGTCATATTTTTGCTTGTTTATGCGAAGTGCAACTTCGCCTCTATGTTAAAAATTCTATGTCGATTGCCGCGAGGTCCGTTGTGATAGTCAGTATACAATTCAAAGCAAGGATACCCGTTTTCTGTGCAATTAGGACAGAAATTTCCGACCAAATTCTCAAAAAACTGCAAAAAATGTCCATTGTTTTGTGAGTGATTCGATAAGAAATCAATACGAGCACGTAGAAAGCTAGTAAATAATAGCTTATCTGCAACAGTTGTTTTTGAAAAACGAGTAACAAAAAAATTAATAAACAAAATTCAGTATTCGGTTAATTAAAAAACTTTATTGCCAAAGAATCTTTGAATTAAGCTTCCAAAACTAGTTTTTTCCCGGCGTAACATCAAGTTTTTCATTTCTTAACTAAAATTTTTGGTCCAATTTGAGCGAGTGACGAGTGAAGCGAGCGTGTAAGTCTCGCACTCTCTCGATTTAGACTAAAATTCAAGAGTTTTTTTTTCGAAACACATTTTTTTGAAATTTATAAAGTACTTAGAATCACGACTGAAAGGGCTTTACGATATATCACTCGACTCATTCCTTTAAAAAAAATTTGGTACCTGATGTTTTTGTGGAACACCCGAAAAACTTAAATTAGATAAAGTTTCTTCCTATTTTGACTAAATGCGAAGAAGCGCATCAAAACTATTTGATAAAAGCACCAAACCAATTTATTTTTCCAAATTGTTTAACGGAATAGTTCAAAAATATTAAATATAAATGAATGATGAAATGATGTAACCGAAAATGCAGCGGTGCGTTCGTTTGAATCTGTTACACTGGCAACTTGAAAACTAATGGACCACTATATTTTGCTTCAAAGTTTAAGATCGCTAAACAGTAATTTTTTAATAATGCGCTGGAATATGTTAGTGATTTGTCTCAGTAACCAATACTTGGTGATTTAACCGATACTGGATGTTAAAACAACACGGATATCCAGTGTTTTTCAGTTCCAGGTTATCATGAGCTAGATTTGTCGAATCACAAAATAAGAGATGGTGCGTGGGTGGGATAAGCAATTACGTCGAAATGTAAATTAGTTACAAAAATGTAGCATGAACAAACCATCACAAAATTCAAATACTAACAATTTTCCAGTCAATTTAGTGTTTGTTTCGACAAGTTTGAGGTTAGCAACCAAGTAGTGGGATGTCCGGGTTCTCAGGGGGGTTGCAATTTGGCTTCCAAATATGAATACCCAAATTCGTTTAGTTTACGAGATTCGACAATTTTTGTGAGTTTCCTCAAATTTTTCAGGAAACTTAGATTCAAAACATTTCACAAATATAAACTTTCAACCGTTTAGTTGGGTGCTGCCAGGGTACTTGCAAGGGTTGCAAATCTGGCCCACAAATGTGACTGCTTAAATGTTTTCAGCTTTCGAGATATGACGTTCTTAGTAATTTCTTTTAAAAATTCCAGAAAACAGATTTAATAATTTCATAAAACTTAAACTTCCTAACCCTGTAGTTGGTTCCTTTCAGGGTACCTTCAGGAGATTAAAATTTTGCTTTAGTTTGTGAGTGCTCAATTATTTTAGTTATCGAGATATGACGTTGTTTAGGTTTTTTTTTTTCATTAAAAAGTTTATCAAAGTTTGAATTCTCTACCGTGTAGCTGAGTGCTGGCAGGGAACTCTCAGAAGATGCAAGTCTTGGCTCTATATTTGACTGCGCAATTCTTTTTTATTTTCGAGATCTGACCTTTTTTCTGATTTTTTTCAAAATTTTTCAAAGAATTTAGATATAAAAACATCACAAAACTTAATATTCCAAATCTTCTTAATCTTCAAATTTTTTAGTGTTTTTCAAGGTTTTTTCGTTTTCCAAAAATATTTTATGAAAGATTGAATTTTCAAGGCTGTAGTTGGGTGCTGTCAGGGTACGCTCAGGGGTCTCAATTCTTGCCTTCAGTATGACCGCTGAAAAGCTTTTTGTTTCTGAGATATGACGTTTTTTTTATGTTTTTTCCGAAAATTTTCAATAAACGTAGATATGCAGTTTATAAAATCAGAATTTCACAGCCATATAGCTGGGTGCTTCTTCGGTTAATCTCAGGGTTTGCAAATTGTTCATCCAATTGAGACTGCAGAAATCTTTTTAGCTTCCAAGATATGACGTTTTTTCAATATTTTAAAAGTTCTTATTGATAAATATGAATTAGATAAGACTTTCCAAAATTTGAAAGCCTCAACCCAATTGAGACTGCAGTTCATCCAATTGAGACTGCAGAAATCTTTTTAGCTTCCAAGATATGACGTTTTTTCAATATTTTAAAAATTCTTATTGATAAATATGAATTAGATAAGACTTTCCAAAATTTGAAAGCCTCAACCCTATAGCGTGGTGGAATGATGTCCGGTTGCAGATGTGGCCTTCATCATAATATAGATGCTCCATTTTTTTTGAAATTGACTTTTTTTCGCTATTTCAAATTTTCATTTTATTAAGAATTAAAGAAAGAAAAAAGAGTCTGATGTTAGGTTAATTACGCCGGGTTAAATGATTGATGGCAGCAAATGATATACGTAGGAGATAATGAAAATACATAACATAGTTAACAAGAATCGCATTTATGAATCAATGATTTTGCTAATGAAGTTGTTTAATTTTTTTTTTAATTATGGAAAGTGCAGTTGTATGATGTCGGCCATTTTTGGGCTTTGCTTCTGTGTTAAAAAAAATTGTAACCCAGTAGTTTTAGAGATATGACCATATAACTTTGAAAAACAACCTTCAAATTGTTATTATTTTTTTCAAATATTACAATTTTTCAAATATAAAGCGTTGTTGGATGATGCCTCCCATCTATCGTTACGGTTGATTTCATTTCTTTGTTTTTCTAAGTATATTTTATATGTAGGCAATTCTCACGATCAATTATCTGTCTGATGCACTTGAGTTGCGTCACATGTTAGTTACAAATTATTATTCCTTGAAACATCTGCATATTTTTGAAATGATGAATATTGTTAAGTTTTATATGAACAACATCAATATGAACACAAACAAATCAGTAACCACAATTGAGCTCGAACCACAATTGAGCTTAAAGCTTTGGTTACACTTACATTTTTAAAAAGAACAATAGATTTGATTGAAATTTAATTGTTGGTCGCATGAAAATCTATTAAGCTCAACAGGACAAGTTGAAGAATCAATTGGTAAACTTTTTTTGTTCCGATAACGCAGAATGTTTTCTGTATTTTTTGAATGAAAATGTTTTGATTAGTGGTCTATTTTTGCTTAGAGGCGTCACACTGGCCATCAACTGCCTCCTGACGATCTCGCAAGTTTGCTTGAACTTAAAATTGTCCTGGAAACGAATTATCATGGAAAATAAATGTTATTTATATTATAATTTTTACCTCGCAGTAAACTATCATGCGATCATAATGTGTTAACAGATATCTGTCATTATAACAATTTTGATTTTTTGCCTTGAATTGTTTTATAGTAGATGTTTCTGATTATTTCTATATACCCTAGCTTAATTTTCAAATTTGTTTTACAACTAAAAAACTACGTCTAATCCTTAATACAGTCTGCATTTATAACAGAGAAGTTGGTAATCTTTAGAATTTTGAGGCATATTTGAAAGATGTCTTTCTCTTCTCGTTTAAATTTTGCTCGTTTTGTAAGACTATTTTGTATTTTTTTTTCATCCCTGAAATGAACATCCCTGCTCTAAAATCAACAATGTAATATCGAATGAAGAAATAGATCAATGCCTTAACCAAAAAAATTGAAACAAAGGCTTACGAACATTAGAAAAATTGACACCAATTAAGTTAAGAGCTACTTGTACAAGAATACGAAACCTATTTAATTTTTTTTATCAAGTTTGGTAAAAGTTTCGTAGTTTAAGCCATGAAATTAAAGGAAAAAGCATTGACAAAACGGATACATCAATTTCGAGATTTGTATATACTAGACAACAAGATCTTAAGTGAATTATTTTGTCTTTTTTTCAGTAAGTAAACAACACGTACGTTACACAAAAAAAATGCTAATTTTACTTTGCTCTTGAGGCATCCTTGACAGGCTCACTGCCTTTTGACATCCTCCCAAGTGTACTAATTTTAAAGAACTTGGAAATGAATTTAATTAATAGCAGATACTCCCTGCACCTCTGTTTAATTTAAGTGATATAGTCTTCCGGCTCTTTTCCAGTCCCCCCTTTCAAATTCAAATTTGAAAAGCTTATTTAACCTTGTCATAATGCAATGAAATTTGGCGTGGTGAACAAATCGACAACTGTGAACAGATTTTTTTCTTCATACTTTACAGCGTAACATCACGCATTTAGCCGTAATAACACGTAAAACAAACATAAAACTCGCTATTTTGAAAGGGGGGAACTGGAAAAGAGCCAGTCTTCCTCGAAGTGGCGGGTTGTGTGCTAATAACCTGCAGCTGGCGTTAGATTTGGTCTTCGATTTAAAAACTTAAGGTTAATAGAACTTCAGACGTTTAGTCTTGACGTTTGTCAATGAAATAAATCAAATTCTAACTGCACCTGATTTAAGCATGTTTACCCTTGTTACCATTTGCTAGTTACTTCTTGTTTTGTTATATTTTTAACAGCCGATTGAAATCATAGACGTGAACAAAATAGTGTTCTGTGAGCATTATGCTAATTGTGCTGTTTGCAATGTGCTTAGGTGCATGAAATCTCTCTTCGAGTACAGACCATTCAAAGAGTTAAAAGTAAACACAGTTGCTATCCTTTCCTCCATCCGCCAAAGTTCAGTTTGCCCTAAGTACTTTAAACCTATCAGCAGACCACGTGAACGAAAAGCAACGACTCAAAAATACAAATTGCACCATTAAGATGTCATTCAACACGCTATTCTAACCCTCAAACCCGCCTCATTATTTTCAAGTTTCTTAAAATATATAATTTGAAATGTATTTACCACTTTTTAATGATGAAAATTTCGCAAATCACAAGTTAATTTAAATTTTTGTGTTCCATTCCCTTGTTTGAAAAAGTTTGTGAGCTAAATTTTATCAATATCGTAAAAAAAATCCCCTCTATATGATTCAAAGACGCTCTCCGATTCCAAACCAAAACCAAAATGATTTAATTTGGAATGTGATTAATATTTCTGTTATCTCGAAATGCGAGTTGTTTGTTGGCAAATATCACGAAGTGAGTTCTGAAATGTTATTCATACAAATCACTTATAGTTCTATTTCCCAGATACACTAAAGTAAGTTGCATATTCATTTCGTTACTGTCTGTTTCTCTATTTTCCGTTTTTTAAACGAGGTTATTTTAATGCGACTGCTTTTTTTTAGCTTGAAATGCTACTTTTTTCGATTTTTAAAAACCGAGATTTTTCTCGTTTTGTTTACGCAGTCATCAAATTTTAATAAATGTTCCTCCTGTGCGCCTTTTTTGCTTTGAAGCCAAATTTTGGTCGATAAAAAACTCTCAGCTTCATTTTATTGTCTGCCAAAACTATTGATGAACATTTATCAAAGAAATGTTGTGGTAATGTTAAAAAATGCAAAATTGTATTCGTTTCAACGCGTAGTGCATAACATACTGATTGTTTGAGTCACGAGCTTTTACTTTTAAAAGATTTTGCTCTAAGCACGACTCCAGTAAACATTTATTATAATTATCTGTTAGTTTTGCACGTCTGAAATTGGCAACAGATACGTATTAAGTTCTACTCGGCCGATTAGGCTGAAAGTTTGTCAGTGTGCTTTTTGAACGTCCCCCTAATTCTAAATCGGTAAGTATTTTTTGAAAATTTTTGGCTCAAATTGAATGTGTTGCTAAAGAATCTAAAGACAGCTGCTGATTCAATTTAACAGTTTCAGTTGAAACAAATCGTAAAAAAATACCAATGCTTGCATTAAGTAAAGATTAGTTAACAGATGAGTAATTTACAAATTCGTTTTTCGAAGATTAACAATTAAAACGAGAGTTTATGAATCCAAAATTGGTTAGATTTTCAACTCAGTACAAAAAGAAGTTCTCAATTTCATTTTCCCGAAACTTGCTTACATGCTGTTTTCACATAGGCTAAGATATGCCATCAGATTCGCATGTGTTCTTGCTGAGAAGAGTTTTAGCGAATCGATTGCTGACATTATAATTTTTGGAAACATCCACTCTGAGCCAAAAAATTTTTATGAATTCATTCAAAATTTTGCAATCAGGGTGGCTCGAAAAAATTCCCATTTTTCATCATTTTAAAAGAGCATTAGAATCAAATATGTATCTGTTGCAAAATTCACAAACTTTTTTATTGCGTTTCCTTTTAGAGTTCAAAGAACAAGATAGAAGTAGAAAAATCAGAAGAAGTCATCGTCAGAGTTTGTTTAATCAGAAATTCAATTCAGATTTATTATTCTTGTCCTAATCCTTTTGTCGGCCTGATGGATTCGGATGAGTTGTCGACCTGTGGTAACAACCTCCAGAAGATTCCAGAGGGACTACTGCAGGACTGGATGAAGAATCTACCAGAACAGGTAACTGAATTTGGCACTTCACTCGAATGTAAAGTAAAAGGGAACGAAAGCAAAAGGAAAAAGTGAGTTTACAAGAATCAAGAGAATTTACAACAAAAAGTGAATTTACGACTTAAACATTTTCAAAGTGTTGTGCAGCAAAATTTAGATTGTTTTCTGGCCAGACAAACAAACTAAACTTTCGTATCGCTAACAACGCTTTGAATTTGCACGATTTGTTCTGAAGAATTCATTTTTTTTCCTTTTGCTCTTCGAGAGTTAGAAGTACCTCTTTTGGGAACTTACTGCATTTGGTGGAACCTGTTTTTTTTTTTCACTCAGAACAAAATGATGAACGCTTGAAATCAACAATTGATAGTTATATAGAGGCTGAAATCTCTAAAAATATTGGGCGACATCGAAAGCGCATTAGAAATTGGAAAAATTGTGAACACGTGCTCATCAGCGCTTTCTGAAGAATATTTGATCGCATTTCAGTAACGTTTTTTTCTTTGATTACTTACAATTTTTTAGTTATTTTGCAAGTTTGACTGATAATTGAGTCTAAGGAAATATCGATTGTGATCCAAAGAAAAACGGTACGTGGTTGGTTCATTGTCCGAGCGGTTATAATTTTTGAGCTGAGGAAAGCAAGGTTGTCTTGGCCATGATGCTAAAACAATGGAGAACAGTAAATTCTATGAAATCAAGTGGTTTTGTTTTTGACAAACTTTAAAGGAATGATGATCTAAAAAAACGTTTGTAACGCAATCTCAAGCGAAGTGTTCAAAATTTGTTGTTTAGACAAACTACCTGAATTTTATACAATTTAGAAAACCTATATTCAAAGATTTTTTGTGGATTTAAATTTAATATTGCGTTTTCAATAACGCCCGGTGTATTTTATCATTACACTAGCGTCAGCTTATTGTGTTATTACGAACCTTCTTTTTTTCTAACCTCGCTCGCAAATAAAAGTGTTCATTAAAAATGTTCACTTATTTGGAAATTTCACTGTAGCATTTGAAATTGCATAGCATCTGCTCTCTGCTTTATTTATGGCTAATTTTGAATCTTCTATCGTCTGTCTACTAAGAAGCTTCCGTGACCAGAGTGTGGTCAGTGTGTGTGACCATTAATCTCAAGGTCGCAGGTCGAATCTCAGCTGTAGACATCTTTTTTTGCAATTTTGAGGCTTATTTATACTTTTTCTTATTGTACTTTATGAAGCTGCTTTTTGTCGTGTTTTCGCTAGTGTTAGCGAAGCGAAGCTTCGCCTCTGTGTTGAAAATCAACGTTTTTTTGAGTTTTCCAACGTTTTGAACCATTTTGTATGCGAGCTGAAAAAGACTATGCACATAGCTGAGGAAGAAATTGTGCACGTAAAATAATTGTTTGCGAATTCTTGGAACACACAATGGAATACCAAAATTTGGATTTTTAATTAAAAAACAAGAAATGCTAAGTCTGTCATAAATTGATTCAGACGAAAATGAAGCAAAAAGTACGCAATTTTTGAATTGAAGAAAGCAGAACCAAATGAGATAACGAGCCCAATGAAATTTCAATTTCCTGTTCAATTTCTTCGAGACCTATGAGAAAAGTTGATTTGGTCGATTATATATAACTAATTTTACCACTGCGGACTTAGAATACTACTTCCGAGACCTATGAAAAGGATTGATACTTTCAAAGTTTGTGAATTTAAGACAATTGCAGTTTCTATTTTACCCGATCAGATTAAATTGTTCCACTCTCTCCAGAGTAAGCAAAAGAATGACTTTCCAGAACTTGTAGATAAATTGATTAAAGCTAATAATGCTCGAATGGGTTTGTAGTTTTAATTATTTCATTAATCAGGCTTCTGCATATGTTTTCGTTGCAATGCACAGCTTCGTTATATTTTTGAACCATATTTTTTTGTTATTCTGAAGTTTAAATTTACCAAGAACCATATCAGCTTATATGTACCAAGAACCAATCAGATTAAGGTTTATTCTAAAATGGGCGATGACGCGTAATAAGGTATCTACTTTTAGTATCTTGAATTGATAATCAATTTCAATCCAATGACTAATTCGATCTATTTAGCCAAGTGGTAAAGCCGATACTTGAGAAGACAAAGGCTCGTTCATCGAATCAGGGAGTGACCTGTTTTGTGCACTGTCAATTTTCTCTTTTTCGAAATCCTCCTTTCCTGACTATTGTGTGTTGCTTATTTTTCTTGGCTCAGTTCCCACATCACGCGTTTTTCTTGTAGGTTGAGCTTTTTAAACAATTTTAGAAGACCATGTCCAGCATTTGCAATGGAGCAGGTAATTGAGTTTTGAACAATTTTCGTTTTTCGCAATTTAATCTTTTTGTTCGCCGGTTTCGGCTTTGGTTATATATGCTTACTTGGCTCATTTTAACTCGTTCAAAGAGCAAAAATAGAACTCGTTCAAAGTTCGGCTTCAGCTATTGCTCGGTTTGAAAGTTTCGGATATTTTTTTAATGAATTTTTATTTTGTTTTGAAACTCAATGGCTTCAGTGTCTGTTTCGTTCGGCTAACTGCCATGTTATGTTCGTGTTATATCGCAAGTAGCGAGACACTCAAAGCATCAAAAACTATAAGGTGATTCTTCTGAGCAAGTTGCAGAGAAATTGGTACTTAGTTTCTAATGAATATCTCTCTGATTTTGTAGTTGGTCTACTTTAGGTGAAACAACTTCCCCTCGCTAGTCTTGCCATTCCAGGATCCCATGACTCTGCCGCGTACTATTTGGACAAAAAACTTCCCCTGCATCCTTTCCATCACAACCTATTTGTACGTACTCTCACCTCTTTGCCCTTCGCACGCGGCTTCGCACGTAAATGGGCCATTACTCAGAACCTGACAATCAAACGACAGTTGGAACATGGCATTAGATACTTCGATTTCCGGGTAGTCGTCTGCCCCGTCACTGGTAATTTTCGGTTCTGTCACGCGCTTTACGGGAAGGAGATTGGACAAGATCTAGAAGACATAGCGCAATTCGCTGCGAATCACCCGCAAGAAGTGCTATTACTCGATTTCAACCATCTTTACGGGTTCGCGAATGAAGAGAAATTTGAGCAGCTTATCACGATTGTAACTTCGTATTTTCCAGGAAAAATATGGTCTATTGAGGATTCAGAGAAAACAAAAATTGAGACGATAACAATTAGCGAAATTCTCGCCAAAAACAGGCAAATTTTGCTGTTCGCAAAACTCCTCTTCAATAAGACATTTCCACAAGTTTTGCCCACCAAAGTGCTGCGATCTTATTGGCCCAACAAGAACAAGAAGGAATCAGTTAATCAGTTCAATTTCAATACTCTGAAGTCCAAAGACGTGAATCAAATGTCGGTCATTCAATGCATCATGACTCCGAGGATGGAAAATGTGATATCACCTCGCAATCGATCTCTGTACAGATATGAGAAGAAATTGATGCAAGATTTGCCCGAGTGGCTAGACAAAACACGAAGCAGTGGGCTGAAACCGAACATCATCATAGCCGACTTCATCGGGGAAAATACTTTTGTAGCCAATGTCATAGCCTACAATGAACGATAACATTGAAACGATTTATCAATATTATTGATAACTCATTTATTACTTAAATTTCACTTTTGCAAATTAGATAATCGATTTTTGATCAGAGTTGAAATATATCAAAGCAATCACAAAAACCTCTTTTGAATCTAAAAACCGTGAGGACAAAAAATCTGAAGATGATAATAGATGAAACTCGCCGATGTAGAATTTTCGCGATTTAATTGTTTTTCGAAATGTTCGCCGTACTTAATTGTTTTTTTTTGCGAAAAAGAAACGTTCAATTAGTTTATGCGCTAGTAGCGGATTTAGGGGTACGCCTCTCCCCCTCAGTGATGCCACCCCCTCAGCAACAAAAGAGTCTCCACTTAGGTACTATTTTACGATATCCTTAAAATAAAACGAATCTAAAAAAAACTTAAGGCACTTTTGGGAGCCACTACATATTGACCTTGAGGCAGAAGAGCGCCAAAAAAATTAAGTTTGTTTTTGGTCAAACTTTTTTCACGCACAAAAATTACAGCAAAGTGTCGTTTAAAAAAATAATAAATCCGGGCCTGTGCGCTGTTAGAAGTGAACACAGAATGCAAATAGAAGGAACTAAATTTAGTTCTAATATTTATACCAATTATTTTCTAGTTGTTCTTTAGCTTTTTCAAGGTTTTATTTTTTAAAAGCACTTCAAATTTTGGTTTTGATTCGTTTTTCTATCTATTTTTGTTCAATTTGCAAAACTGTATGAGAAAAAGATACCGCAATTCCGAATATTATGTTGCTTGCAAAATTGCAAGCAGTTTCAATCGATATATTTAAGTTAAGTTTAAAATTTGTTAAAATCAGCAGCTGGTATATTAAAGGAAAAAAATTTGAGTTCTAGTTGCCAAGTCATTTCAAAAGTGTCCTCATCTTTCGATGCTACTACACCCAGTTTTGACTAAGTTGTAAATCCAGTTTTGAATACAATAGCAAATCAAGCCGGCACAAAAAGCGGAAAATTTTTTAATTGTCTGTGAAATTCGAAAGCGTATCGCTCTAAAATCTGCATTATCTGCGGATTTTATATACTTTTCCCTTGCCAAACAAAAAATTTAACGCCTGTTATTTGAGTATTTGTCGTTTGATTCTATCAGACTTTTGGCTGAAGCCTTTAAAATTCTGTGGAATTAGTCAAAAGTTGACGAATTCTAAGGACAATGTCCCTAGAGTTTAGTTAGCTACCAAGTTATCCGAGATTAGCATGGCAATGAAGTAGCACGCTGAGGCGGGGGATGGAAAGCCTTTCATTTTTAATTACCAAATGTTCGCAAAGAGTCTTCTTTTGATACTATTTTAGGACTATCATTTTTGCCTGACCAGCCTAAAAAGTTGTTTAAAGACGCCTTTACCAATTTATACTTTTTGAACGGTATCGCGCACCAAAAAGAAGAAAACTTTTTGCTTAAGTTCTTCTTAAGTTCTTTTTGCTTAAGTGTATAAGTTTAAGGCAAAAAGGGTTAATATAGGGTGTTGGCAGAGCTCAAGAAAAAATCAATCTGTTTTTTTTTCAATATCACCCCGAAATTTGATGCGCTACCGACGAAGGAACTTTGATTCTACTTAGTCTGCTGCCTGCGATCAATATTTGGATTCATGTGCTATTTTTTTGATAGAATGAACAAAATTTGATATAATTAGTAACATTTGAAATTTCAAAATTGGCAAAGCCAGATGAGTCATTCACATTATTTTTGTGACGCGTTATTTACGGAAGGAACTGTTCCTGCCTTTTTATTCTTTGAATTTTAAAGTGGAAACTTATTGTCAGATTTTTCAGCAGATTCAGTTTTGATCAGTTTTATTTAGGTTGATTTCTGGTTATCGGAAAATATGTTTATAAATGTATTAACACTTGCTAGTGCAAGTGTCTCATGGCCAACTTGATTTTTTCCTGTACACAACTTTTCTAGAAAACCTTTGATGTTTTCTTCCTTGCTATTTTATTGAACGTTTAAGGTCTGGGGTTCGAGTCGCGGCCAGAACTTTTTTCCGGTATGCATGAAATTGAAATCTTTTTCCAGTGAAAATTGATTTGTCGTTTTTTTGTCTGTCTGCTCAAGTTTTGTCGGATGAGTTGCCACATACCAGTTTGTCCTATGCTATAAGCATTTGTCATTGTAGTTGCTTCATTGTAGTTTCAGAGTTGATTTGAAACTTTTTAGCTTCAACGCTGTCTTCTCAAAAATTGTTTCCGCTTCGTAAGTTTTGTTTTGCTGCTAACTTAATAGTCAATTGTTTTGCTTGGCATGTTTGAACAGAATGATTCCTTTCAAGACATACGCAAGTTTTGGTAGACCTAGTTTTTTTCAACATTTTTTTGTCTTCTTAAGTCTTTTATTTGTTTGTGTTTAATCGGAAGTGATTCGAATCTCCGCTTCGCCACTGTGTTCAAGCTTGCGATTAGTCAGCATTTTAAAAATAAAACTTTTGAAAATATTTACAATAATTAGCTCGAACAATTTTTCTAGCAAGTTCAACTGTCAGCAACAGTTAGTTAGCTTGCTCAAGCTGAACTTGGAATTATTTTTGAGCCGAATTAGTTTCTATTACCAGATAACTCGAGTGCTGCAGAGGCAATGGATTTATAGAGTAAGGGCATAAAATTGGAATTATGTTTTCCAGCTGACAATTTTCGAACTTTCAGAAATAAATAATTACTAGTGAAATAATTTGTTAAAACTTTTGCGCTCAGTTTTTTCTATTGTTGCTAAATTATAATTTTTTTGAAAAATTATTATATCTTTAGGTCGGGACTTGTCTGGAAGTAAATTTTACCCAAGATTAAATATTCGGTAATTTACTTTAAATATTGGAGCAAAAAAACGAAGATGTTTATTCATCTACAAGTCAGCGAAAATACAGAAGTCTCAAATGATGAAATAAAACTTCCGACTGAACAGCAAAAAAACTCAATAGTGCAACAGTGAAGACAAAAATTAAGTATTAGTTTACTTTGTCCGAATGGAAGTTTTTTTCAAAATTCTGGTTAAAATATGTCTTCTGCGACTTAACTGATTACCTATTATACTAATGTTATCATCTTTCCCCTAAACGGCTTTGGGGCGGGTGGTTTGGGAGGATGTTAATTTCGTCCAAAAAAAGGATAGCCGGTTGGTGTGCAAATAGCACAGAATGTTCCAGCCACATTCTTAAAAGACTACACAATTTTTTTGTGTTTTCATATTAGTGTCGTTTCGTGTGCGTGATGTGATGGGAAAATTATACAAAGAAGGAAAATTAAATTGTAAGAATGAAAAATTGATAAAATAGGTATATTCGAGAGCAGCTGTCTTTACATTTGCGAAAGCATGGGTCTTTTGATCGGAAGCTAGACTTTTTTTTCCCTGTAAACAGCTTTTCTTCGAAATCTTAGTTGCTGTATTATTGAGATAAGTTAACTTCCAGATACTTGACAACCTCCCTCTTGGCCCAGAGGCAATGTGGCCCCTTTTGCACCCTCAGGATTGAGGTTCGAGTCTCGACCGGACGTTTTTTTTTCAGAATGTATTGTATTGAATTTTGTTTCCGGTAAAAGTAGAGTTGTCGGATTTTTGTTTTTCTGCACAAGTTTTGTCGGATTATTTGTCACATGACTGATTTTTCTTTTGCTGTAAGCAATTTTTATTGAAGTTGCAATTTTTGTTCGTTGTAGTTTCCGGACAAAATTTTTTTTACCAGGTTAATTTAAATCGGCTGGACTTATGTGTCAACTCAAAGATTTTTGGCTTCATTTCCGCTTTGTTAGTTTCGTTCCGTTGCTAATTTACTACTTAAAAATTTTGAATGACACGTTTGCCTAGAATGAACTTTTATCAAGACACATGAAAGTTTTGGTAGACCTAGTTTTTTTTTCAACTTTTCACCGGCTTTTGATGTTTGTATTGTATCGCAAGCGAGGTGAAGTTCTGCTTCGCCTCTGTTTAACGAATGTTTCTGGGCTGTACTACAGTATTATCTCATTTAAAAACTTTATTTTGTGCCCGGCGACGTCTTAAGGGAACATCGTTTTTTTTGTGCTCGGCGACGATTTAAGGGAACATCGTTGTCTAATAGCAATCTCTTTGCCTGAAGTTAAAAAGATAGACGTTGGATCTATACTGGAAAATTATTGAACATTTTTTGTGGAATAACTGGCCATCGATGATGATCAAAACGAATTTAATTAGAGTTAAATTAAGACCAGGTGTTTCGATAATCAAATTGTGCCAAACTGTGAAATCCAGTCGCGAAAGATACGATCGTCAAAGATTCGTCTAAGTTGCAAGAAGCCACATTTCTCACCTAGTTTGCCCTGTGATTGAAGAAAAACTATACGTCTAAGAACAAAAGTGCTAAAAGTTCGACAGCAATTTCCTCTTTTTTTGAAGTGAACTTTTCTTTGAGTTTATTTTTTTTGAATCTAGAAGTGGTTCTAGAAAGTTCTAGAAAGTTTTTAAGTGGCAGGTGGGGAACTAAAACATCCCTCTTTTTTTACATCAATTAGTGAAAATCTATCAAAAGACCTGTTGTAAACTTGAATTCTTGAATTTATTATCATTTGGTAATTTGGCCTTGAAACCCTATGAGCTGAAATTACCAAGTACCCATTCAAATTGATTTGTCTTCTCAAGAATGAGCCCCGATAAAAAGATATTATCAATGATTCTTGTCTTCAGTTTTGTTAAATCTGCGACGAGCCAGGTCGACTCAAACTAGGTCTATGACATCATAAGTGAACTTAAGATGACATCACTTTCGGCTGACAGTTCCAAGTCGCAGCCGCATATGGGGTCTTTTGTTGAAGGTTAGCGGCCGTGATCCACTGGAAGGGTAGTCAGGTGGTGAAAAGACCCTGGGTTGCGAGGACGAGGAGTAGTAAAATGATGAGGGTTCTCTGTTCACCTTAACTAACCACGCCAATTTCTCAAGGTTAGCTGAAAAAATAAACAGTCCATAAAAATGATAATTTATTTTTGATACTTTTCATGTTTCAATTGACGAAATTTGTTTAATTTTACTACCTCACTGAGTGTATGACTTTAATTCCCCGCGTGATTCTGGCCCGCCTAGGAACTTGATCATATACTCATGGTTGGACGTGTCCTCATCAGGTTTTTCACCCCCCCCCCCCCCTCACCACTTGAAGGGACCTCTTTAATAATATGTCACGGCACCCATTTTTGGCCGACCGGCCCAGAAAAAATTTCTCAAAAAGCGCATTTTGTGTTAATGAATACTAATTTCAAAGGGCAAGCGCGAGTAAAAAATACGCGATTTTTTTTAATCAAAACTTTCCTAAAAGTGCCCAATAACGGCATTTATGATGCTTTTTTTAAACATTTGCTTGCAACGCAGAACTTTCTTGAAAAGACCTTCACAATGCTTTGAGAAAACTCGGGAATTCAATTTGATAAACAATAAAAAGGTCGAAAAAATTTCCAACAAATAAAAGTTTCTGCGCACGCCACTGTTTTGCATAAGTACTGAAACCGCTGTGCTGCTCGCCACTGCGAGACCAACCTGAACTGAGAAAAAACACACCCATACACAATTATGGTAGAGTATTAAAACTATTTATTATGATTCCTCGGATTTTTAGTTCAACAAAGAATAACAAAAGAAAAATGTTCAAAAATTTTTGATCGAACTTTTTGATTTAGAAAAAACATAGGAAGAAAACATTATAAGACACTTCGAACTAATTTGCTGGAATAAAACTAATTTTTCAAGGTGAAACTTAAAATTTGAGATTATTATATGCATATTAAAATACCTACTCCTCGCTTAACTGGTTTGAAATAAGACAAAAACCCAAATAACTCAAGCAGGTTTTCTTAGCACTGGGATAACGTTTTCAAAATTTTCAAGTTCCTTCTGATCACGACTTACACGGATTCCATTTGTTACATCACTATTTTATTTCCAATAATTTTTTTGAACTAATTTTATGTGGAAAAAAATGACAAATTATAAACCAATCCGAAGGCAAAGTTTTTTTTTCACTTTCAGTGATCGGAACAAAAATTAGAAATTATATACTCGTTACTTTCCTAAAAAGATTCGGAACGTCTAAATCCTCAAATTTCTCAATCAGGCTATTACTGTATTATACTAGCCATTTCTTCCTTCCCTTGATTTGACTTTCAAACAATTGTTTTTTGTTCCGACCACTTAAAGTAGGAAGGAAGTTTGTCTTCGGGTTTGTAAAATTTATTTTTACTTCGTTTTACTGTCCACGCAAAATCAGGTACCATATATCAAAATTGGAAAGGGTCGATTGATAAAAAACATTGAAGCCCTGGAAGTCGTCATTCAAACGACATTCACAAATTTCGGAAACGTTTTCACAGTGTCGAGAAAACCGGTTTTGGTCTAATATGAATGAAGTTAAGCGAGCAATTAGGGCTTATATTAGAGGCATGTAATATCCCAATTTACTATTTAGGCCGCGGAACTTTAGTTAACAGTAGAATCAACTAGACTGTCCGTATCAGGAAGAAGACCTGAATATTCCGGCTGGGTTTTAATTTCTAAGAAGTAAGTGTAAAAAAGTAATTGATGAAATTTTACAGCAAAGTATTAAATAGATCAAAGAGCAATTTAGAACGATTTCGAATATGGATTATAATTGTCCGCTTACGAGTTATTAGCACCAAAAATATCGCGCCGTAATTTCCCAAATTAGCGGTCTTTAAATCCTCATAACTTTACGAAAAAGTTCAGTGAAATATCTATTTGAGATTTGAGATCATAAGTGAAACTTCTTTTTGAATTTGAGCTCAGGCAACAGTATCTTTTGGATGATATGAAAACAACTCTGTCAAAATTGCTAGTTAAAAAGCCGAAATTTGTCTGAAGAAAAAACAAACCGATCGCAAATATTCTGTCACTTTCTTTGAAAGTCGGAACAAAAAAGTATATATTTAATTACAAATATCTTTGGCGGGTGGTTTGGAATCGTTTGTTATTTTTTCACTCTAACTTCTAACTCAAAACTGGTAGATACGAAAAGTGTTGGACTATCATTTTTTGTTTTGTTTGCTGTACTAAAGTATTTAGACCATTAGAGTCAATTGCCTTTTTATTGACAAACCCAATGACTTAAGGTCCCGAAATGAAGATAAACTTCAACTGGTAGCTTTTTTGAAATAATTTTTTTTGTTATTTCAAATGAAAATGTGAGCGGACTTAAATTTGAATTAAAATGGCAAAAAATAATTACGTAGGATCTAGATTTAAGTCAGTAAGATCAGGGGCAGATCTAGGATTTTCTCAAATGGGAGTGGATTTTCAAAAAAAAAATTGAAAATTTTGTCGGCCTTTTTTTTTAGGTCGACCAAACTGATTTCCTGAGCTGCCCCAAATCACTATAAAGACCTCATTTTCCCATTTTGACCAATTGTTCTGCGCCGCAGGAAAATTTTTGAAAAAACAGGCCAAATATAGCCTTTAAGGCATTTAAAAAAAAATTTGACCAAAAAATCGCGTTTTTTCGGCGCGTAATCCCCCTCAAGATTAGTATATACTAGCGCCAAAGGCGCCTTTAGAAAATTTGTTGGGTTAGTCAGCCAAAAATGGATATCTCAAAATAGTACATAGAGAGCGTCCCCCCGCCCCTAAATCCGCTACTGAGTAAGATACTGACGTAGACGGAAACAGAAAAATTATTGTTAGCTTATCGTTCATGTACAACTTACTTAAACTCTGTAAGAACAGATCTGAGAACTATAAAAATTTAGTTTGAAAGTTTTACATAATGACGAGGCTATTTCGTTCGGTAGGGCTGTCGTGGTTTCGTCCTCGATTGCTTTGTTGAGTCATGTAAGAAAACAGAAATAAATACTTTTCATTTTAGTATCTCAAAAGGCGGAGTCCATCGTGTTTTAGTCTTGCATAGGTCGCCTCTGCAAACCACTTTTTTTAACAAATCCAAAGTATACACCCCGAGTCGACGTAGGAGACTTAAGTAGCGACCATCGCAACCCAAATCAGGTATGCTGCGACCATCGCGACTCAAAATGGGTACGCTGCGACTTTGCTTAGATTTCGTATTTTTTAAAACTTTCCCAGCATTCTGGCGGCAATGCTACAATTGCGTCGCGCTTCGTGCTGCTAACCACAAGGCTTTTCCATAAACAGTTTGCGTTTCTATTTTGGTAAACACGCAATACGAATTAGCCTGACTGCTGTAAAGCCGAATTGAAATTACAATGAATAGTGTTTGGCAGAACATTCTGTTAGTCCAAGGGACTGCCGTTGCACTACACCCGGTTCAAATCTCGAAAGAAACCTGGTTTCAGCTTATTTTCGATTTAACTGATTCAATTTTAGCACGTGTAGTATAAAATTGTACCTTCGTCATCGTCCTCGAAAGTCGGATCGATAACTATGACAGTTAATTGAAGATTGAAAACATTTTATTGATTTTGTACTCAGGGTATCAAGTTAGTTAAAATTCTATAATTTGCTGAGAAGCTGATGGCATCATAATATGTTAAAATAGAGTTATTGCACGCAACAATTTCGTCAAAACTATTGTTGTGTGCTATCGCCGAAACTTGGCTGTAGAAGAAAACGATTTTGACTATAGCTTTGGTGTAACTACTAAGAATGCGTTTTCGATAATATTACTGATAGTCGTGGAAAGCCACATTTCTATGAACATTCATTTGTTTTGCCTTTACTTGTCATGTCACTGACAGGAAATATGAAAACAATAGTGAAAGTGCAGTAAAAAAAATTTATGGGAGGAGCTGAAGGTTCTGAAAATGTTCAGACAACACCTGTGTGATAAGACTTACCCAATTTGTTCAACTGCCGATCGACGAAAGAGGCGAGGTTGAAACTGGAGTCGTCGGGCAAGTCGGCTGGTGACTCATACAGCGAAACCCTTCTGTCGATCTCGGAAGCAGTCGATCTCACTTCACTCATGAGAAAGAGATAAAAAATGAGAAGACTAACCGTTGAAAGCAAACCACTCGACTTCGAAACGACACGGCTGCTTTTAGAGACCTTATTCAGAGCTTCGCGAAACATTGTCGTTTTTTTTTGAAAAATAAAATGGTGAAAATTAGCAACTAGGTTTTTGCGGTTCTGCGGAAATTAACAGTAAGCCGAGTTAATTAAATTAATTTAACCTTGACAGTTTGTGAGGAAATGTGAGATAAGTTACGGAACTTAGCTCTTAAAAATACTGTCTAACTTGACTCGCTTTAATGAGAATATATCCCCGACAATTAGCTCAGCTTCCTTAAATAAGATAGTGTTTCTTTATCCCTTACAGATAACACGTTTGCGTCAAATTTCACAAGAAGACTATTTACAGAGATTATTTTTAAAATTGTAAATTATAGATCAAAATAAAAACTTGATCTGTATTTGATAAATTAACAACCTATTCTTACCTTTTTCTCGGGTAAAGAATAAGGAATCCAATGTCGTAAACGGATTTAAACCGATGTTTTTGTTGATACATATGTTGCCATTATTCTTTTTCTGTCGAAGTTTTTTTCACATATCTGTGAATAAAAATCAATGCATTGATTTTCAGCTGTCAGGTTTGATAAGGTGGACTTAGAATTTTCCTTATTTGGTGTTATTTTTTTTCGATGAGCTAAGATCGCATAAATTTTAAAATCGTCTCAGCTATCCTTGGTTTTGTGCGAATGTTGCCGAGGGAAAAAAGGAAGCATAATGACTTTTCAGTTTCAGAACGTGTCAACATCAACACTAACGTAACGGTACTGTTAATTGAAAACATGACTTTAATGGGTCTTGTTAACAGTTTCCGCCAATGGTACCTCCTTTAGTAAGCAATGTCCATCCCTATGAAGAAAAGAATCAACGGATACAAGCTTTCAGAAAAATGAACCCTGTGACAAGTCCTTTAACTCAACTTGTTTGAAAATTTCAATACCGATCAATAATACAAAGAGTTTCATCAATGAAACAATGATTCAATCATCCAGTTTTTTTTCGAAGTTTTGGCGATGCTTGAAATGAAAATAAATTCAAAAAGACGTAGTAGGAGCGGATCCAGCTTGTAAACTCTTGCTAAAGGGGCAATTTTTTTGAAAAGTTGGTTGATATTTTTAGTCAAATTTGGGCGCGAATTGATGAAAATTGCTTAAAAAATCATCATATTAAAAACAATTGCGCCATACTAAACTACGGTTGTAAACCAATCAACAAAGAATTTAACATTTTTCTAGCAGTTTTTAATTGTTGTGCAATCTCCAGCAAGTTTAAATAGAAATTTGCTGAAAACAACTCTGGTTGCTGAAAACTGTTATAACTTCTTGTGGCGCAGCGACCTTTAATTCAAAAATTTTTGATTGAGTTTTCGGCTCAGTGTTAATCTGTTGTTACGTCTTAGCTTGCAAATTTAGCCCTAGTTTCTTAATAAGATGGATCATAGTTTTCACAAGATGGATCAAGCTAGTTCTGTTCAATGAAATCAAACACGTTTCTCGAAATACCGCGCATTTTAACTCGTATTTTAGGTATTCAGAGAACTTCATTTCAGGCTAAGACCGCTTCAGTAGGAGGTTGAAAAAAAGGACGACAAGCATATTAGGCGGAGGCATTTAAAAGGAAATGAGACGATTTTGCAAACTGCAATTGTGAGAAAATAGACGAAAGTGAGAGAGATTAAAATTGTTTGCAGACAAATAGCGTGAGAAAAATAAAAATGTTTGCAGACAACAGTTAAATTTCGGTGGCCAAATATTGTAGATGTCGATCACGCATAATTTATTCAATTGAAACCTCTCCTGTACTATTCAAATTGACATTTTATGTTCATTTTAACTTATTGTTTTCGATAGGTATTGTCATTTTATGTTTTTTTTGTTTTTGTTAAACTTGATTTTTAAGAAAAAATTTTGTTGGCCCTTTGTTTCATAGCAGTGACGTCTACAAATGCCAGATCTGTAAAAAAAATTCGTCTTATTTCGTTTTTGTAGCATCCGTCTAACTTGCTTATCGTCTAATTTCCTCGGCCTCGTTTCAGTAATATCGATAGAAGTTTGTGAGGCGGGCTAAAAACGGTAACTTTCACTAGGTTGATATCACATGAACCACAAATTGATTGGCTCCAAAAGAAGCGACATTTAAAAGCAAGGTAATTAGCGTTTTGGTCTTGTTCCAACGAATGCCGATGCTAATCTCTCTCTCTCTCTCTCTCTCTCTCTGAATAACACTTACAATAAGCAAAAGATTTGTTTTCTTCTTTATGTTAGAAAAGCATTCTGTCAAAAACATTATGTTATGAAAGCATACTGTCGTATACAGTTACAACTAATATAAACATGTCGAACAGAAAATTATGGCTAATTAACTTTAAAAAAATGATCAAACTAACTCAAGTTGAAATTTAAAAACGTCAATTTCAAAAATAGCCGAAATTATTTTTTTTCGGATTTGATAACATTTTAAGGTTGCTTAGTCCCAGATACATAAAAAACGGCTAACTCTAAGACCAAAGGTCAAGAAAGAAAAAAATATTTTTTGAAAGACTTAGTTGTTGATGAAAAACTAAATCAACAAACATTCTGCAAAAAAACAGCAAAAAGCTTCAGAACTGAATCACCTGCACCAGAAAGATCAACAAAAAAAACTATGGTACATTCAAATCACAAAAACTTTCAACTGAAAGTGTTTACCAAACTAAAAAGCGAAAAATATATGAAAACATTCAACGACATCCAGTGCTGGAAATCTCGAAAGAATATTAAAAGAGCAACTTAAGTCACCGAAGCCTTATATGCTTCCAATTCACCGAGAATGCTTCTGCCTCAGCAGTTGATATTATATAAAACATTTGATTTTTGTCTATTCTCTTAACAACTTTCTCTTATTAACTAGAAATTTTCTTTTCTCTATTCTATAGTTAGAATATCGTAGAACTTTTGACAGCGCGCGCACATTATGCAATAGCATCGTTGAATTTTTCGAGTCTTCCAAAATCATCTAACTGATGATTTGTCTCAAATGCTTTTCCTCAATATTATTTTCTTTGCAACGATCTGATGTCCGCTTTGCAAAACCACATCATACACGAAATTGCTATTATGTTTCTTTGATTTAACCAAAAATGAAGCTCACTTGAGTGTCTTCTCGCTTAAAAAAATTCGAACTGATGCCTCATTATTGGTTTGTTTTTGTTAAAAAATTTTTCAGACAGCAATGCGACACGAAATATTCTTATGGGCCGTAAATTTTTTCGCATATAGAAAAATGATGCTTTAACTCTGAATTGAGGCTCTAAAACAGCTTTAACTATCGTCGTATGCTCTGGTTTGCAGATAATCTTTTAAAGTTTGTGCGCGATATTCTCTAAAAGACGTTTCTACTCAATATCTTGTTCAGCCGAGAAAACATTTTTGCAAAAAAATTATGATGGGTCTTAATTTTATATACAAAATGATGTTTTTTAACTGATCATAATTATCATAATGGGTCTTATTTGTATATAAAAAACGATGTTTTTTTAAACTGAATTGAGGATTTAAAACAGCTTCAACTATCGTGGTATGCTGTGGTTTCCAGAAAATTGTTTTCGATTTGTGCGCAATATTCTCTAACAGATGTTTCCATCGAAAATTTGTTCAATCGAAAAAAAAATGTTCTTCATACACCGCAAACTTGTATAGTTTCTGAGTGATCGCACAACTAAGTCCCGAAAGAAACGGTTTTTTTTTGAAAAACGGTTATTGCACAAATTGCGTTTAGTCCATAAATTTTTCGTGACATACAATTTCAAGAAGTTCGTACAAATTGCTTAACCTGGTCTTAAAGTATATATACTCTTTAGTTTTTGATGAAATTGAAGCTGCCTGTTTGCTGAAAAAAAAAGATTTTTTTTTATTGGATGAGTACTGCTCGTCATACAACTTCGTTTCCTGAAATTTGTATATTAAGCATTTTCCTCAAACAAGAGTTTTTATAACGCTTTCTGAAATCAGTCAAAAACGTTTTGATTTTTTCAAAAGAATTATGTTTTGTTTTTTTAATTGGTTGAGTTTTTTGCTAGTCAAAAATCAGTCTGTTTTGTTTTGTCGGAAAACAAGCCAGCACACAATTTTGATGAAAAAACTTCTAAAGTTAAAACAAAAAGAATTTCTAAAACTAAAAAAAAATGTTTTGTAAGCAGCTTATCTTCTTATTGCAAGGTAGACTTGAAAAACAGACCACACTATTCCACCAAACAGTTTTACAAAGTATAATATTTATCTAGCCATATATAAAAAGTAATGTTTTTCTTGTTATAAGTCGAAACAACGGTTACTGGTTATTCGCAAATAAAACCTGGTTATTGTGTTTACTCAAATTTTTTTTCAAAATTTAAAAATTAATGTTATACTAATTGCGTTTGGAAAACTTTTATAGAGAAATGCTTTGTCATAGTGTTTGTATAACTTTCTCTATCTATGGAATGCTATGAAATTGAATTGGTACAAGTTTTCTGATAGGCAAACGGAATGATTCGAAATTTTGATCAACCAGGGCAACCAGTTGTTTTTTGAGCATCTCGTCAATATTAAAACCTTGGAATTTATTTTTAATCTAAGTTATTTTTTTTAATGTGCTCTATTGGTCTTTAACCACTTTTTCAAGTGAATGTAAGCATTTTTTTGAGTTTTAGACTCGTCATGTATTTTTATGAACTTTTCAACTGCTTGTTAACTTTTTTTTGTTATAAATTGAAAATGAACAGAATTTACGTGCAGAAGAGGCTCTAACTTCAGGTTTTTATTTGCACTTTTAAATACAATTTTAAGAGAATTTTCTGTAATGCTGCTCAGAGTTGATATTTGTGATTTTTTTAAAGTTGGATCCTAATGCTTGATTCTGATAGGTCGATAATAAACGGTACAAAAAGAAATTTTGAAAGCTAATTTCAATCAAATAGCTCATTTTACGTTTCGATAACTTTGGAGGGTACGTATAGCAGAAAAAAAATCCAATTTATGTATGAAAATTTATAAGAATAGCGTTTTCGATCTATGAAAATGCGTTGAACAAGTCCTGTTTCATGAACTTTGTGTCAACTAAACACGAATAATTTGTATAAAAAGTATGATAATTTGGTTTTAGATAGACAGTCATTAGACAGTGCAAGAGAGTCCAAAACAGAAGTACGAAGAACAGATACAAAAATACAAATTCTTTTACTTATCGTTCGAGCAGGTAGAAACATAAAGATTATTAAAAGCTTGTGTTTTCTTGACTAGATCTAGAATCAATACAATTATAATTCAAGCGAATTGATAACTCAGCAGCATTATCATCGTTATTTTATATTAAAAACTAAATACATCTTGTTATAACAGGTAAGAGCTTGAAAAATACAAATAATTGAAAATAGCTCGCAACGTCTTTTATTGCAAAATAATTCCAATTCTTTTGTATTAGTTTTTTTTCTGATTGTCCCATTAACGATCGGACAAATATGGCCAAAAAACTGATCAGAAAAGACCATTCATCTATGATCGAAAAAAATGGTAAATTATAGGAGCTCGTAACGGACAACCGCTATCGAGATTTTCTGTCCATATTTTCGCGACTAAACTTTTGTATGTCCAGGCTTGCGCGACCCACGGCGTGATTTTATGTCCAGATTTTTCAGACTTTCTGCGCGACTGTGAAATTTGGTGTGTCCGAATGTGAAGCTGCGTTCAAAGTCTGTATATGGGTCTGCGAGACTTCGAATCCGGGCCCATGCAGTTTTTCAGCCTTTTTTTTATTGCACAAGGCAAATAATTAGACCCTTTTGCCCAATCCTTAGGCCTAATCCATAGTGCAATAATACATTCTGTAAAATTTTGCTCCTCAGTTCAAGATTTGTCTTAAAAAAGTTTTTACTATTAACACTTGTTAAACAGAAAAATATGATTATAGTAACATCAAGTAAAGTCCTGCACAAGTTGATCGAACTTTAATGTGCCTGAATTAGTTTTTTGCCTAACTTTTCCCACACTCAGTTTAAAGACAAAACAGTTTAAAACTGCTCGTGTCAGGGCGAAGCCCTGAATGTTGTTCCGACTGCCTTTAAAAGTCTATGGAGCAGTAAAAACATGAAATATTTTTAAAATAAAAAAAAAAATTTGAGATTTTTGTGAAAATCATCCCACTACACGCATATTATGTACAAAGTGGTAGATTCCGCTTCTAGCAACAAATCAGTTATGGCAAAAAAGCTTCCTTCAACCAATTTGGAACGATTTCTAGGACTGATTAAATCTCGGTTAATTGTCCCAAGTTGGACAAAATGGCAATGCTTAAACCACCATAACTTTACGAAAAACAATCACAGGTGAGAAATTTTCAAATTTAAGCTCAGAACAACAATACCTGAATGATATTTTAAAAACTCTGTCAAAAATTGCTAGTTAAAAGACCACCACGAGCACCAATATTCCGTTACTTTCGTTAGGAAAGTCGCAACAAATACTTTCGTTAGAAAAGTCGGAACAACAATAGAATGAGTTACTACAATAATACTGTTTGAATGAAAAAATTCCTTTAGTATGAGCTCAGATGTTTGAATGATTTATTGTACCTAAATTGAAGGAGTATAGACTCAAATAGCAGCCTATTTCACCCACTTCACGTGCTTTGGCTTACAATATTAGGATTTCCATGATTGTAAAGTTCACTGATTTTGTGATAAAAATGCTGTTATTAAAGCTCTGAAGTTAATGTGGGAAAAAAGAAAAAATCATATCAATCAAAAAAGGATTTGTTTTATGGAGTGTTGTTTACCAGCAATCAAAAAGGCATCAAAAATTACGACGATGAGCTGAAAGTACTGTGTTGTGTCGGCCCTATGGTATGATTCAAAAAATGCTACAAGAATTGATTGTATACAGCCTGTAAGCTTGTCTTTCGAAACATATAAAATGCTCACAAATATGGTCACTTTAGAGTAAATCAACCGGCAGTGAATACTAATTTGTTTGAAAGAAACAACTCGAACTTGAAAAAACATGAAACATTGAAGCATCCCTTTGAAAATCTTTCTCCGGATCTGAAAAAGCAATTTCTGGAGGGAAACAAGAACCAAGGCTGGTCTGGATGCAAAAACTATCTACTTGTTGTATAAGTTCCAGGCTTTGCTACTTTTAGTGCCCAAAAACTGTATTGTGTTTTAACCTTTTTTATTATTGTTCCGACTTTCGATACGAAAGTAACGGAATATTTGTGCTCGGGGTGGGTTTTTTTTTCTTCAGAAAAATTTCGACTTTTCAACTAGCCATTTTTGACAGAATTTTTTTTATCATTTGAAAGCTGTTGTTGTCCTGAGCTTAAATTTGAAAATATATTTCACCTGTGATCATTTTTCGTAAAGTTATGAGGGTTTAAAAATTGCCATTATGGCCATTTTGACCAATTTGGGACAATTAACGTGGGATATATTTCGCGCTATTAACGCGTAAGCGGAGATTTAATCCGTCTTAGAAATCGTTCCAAATTGGTTGAAAGAAGCTTATTCGCAGTAATTGATTTGTTGCAAGGAGCGAAATCTATTGTTTTGTACTTTATATGGCGTGTGGGGGATGATTTGCATAGAAAAGTTCTCAAATTTTAGTAAAAAATGTTTTTCATTTCATTTTGTTTCATTTAATTTTTTTATGTTATTACTGCTCCATAAACGTTGAAAGGCAGTCGGAAATTTCAGGGCTTGGCCCTGATACGAGCAGTCTTGTAACTAGTTATTTTATCAATTCGTGTTATTGTTCCGACTTTTGATACGAAAGTAACGGAAAATTTGTGCTCGGGTGGGTTTTTTTTCTTCGGACAAATTTCGACTTTTTAATTAGCCATTTTTGACGGATTTTTTTATATCATTCGAAAGCTATTGTTGTCTTGAGCTTAAATTTGAAAAAAATATTGCACCTTTGATCATTTTTCGTAAAGTTATGAGGGTTTAAAGATTGCCATTTTGGCCATTTTGACCAATTTGGGACAATTAACGCGCGTTATAATTCGCGTAAGCGGAGATTTCATCCGTCTTAGAAATTGTTTCAAATTGGTTGAAAGAAGCTTATTTACCAGAATTGATTTGCTACTAGCAGCCAAATTTATCACTTTATACTTAATATGGCGTGTGGGGGGATGATTTTCATAGAAAAATTTTCAAATTTTAGAAAAAAAAACTTTTTCATTTTATTTTGTTTCATTTAATTTTTTTATGCTGTTTATGTTATTACCGCTCCATAAACGTTAAAAGGCTGTCGGAACTTTCAGGGCTTCCACCTGATACGAGCAGTCTTGTTCATTAGAAATTTAGTTCGATATGTAATTATTTTGAATGTAAAGTATGATGTACTGAATATGCCGATATGAAACAATGTTCCCTCACTGAAAAATCAACTAAACTTCCAATTAAAATTTCTCTCTAATTATTTGTTTTTTCTTTAGTAACTTTTTTTGTCTACTAAGCACAAATCAATCAAGATGGTGTAATTTTCAGTTGTCTGAGAACAATTTTGAGAAAATTAAATTTTAAAAATCAGATAATAAAAAAATGAGTTATTCAAAGCTTGTAAAACATGTTTATTAGAAGTAATCCGTCGTGATGCAACTTTACGCTGGTCTTCATTATGCAATAAGTTATGCACTGATAGCGTAACTTGATTGAGAGTGACGCAATTTTCTGCTGATCGTTGAAACAAGTTGTTCTCGAGCAATTAAATGTCTTTAACAAATCATGTTGATTCAATTGATGGAAATTCATGCTAATAGTATTTCCACAAAAACTATGAGTTTTTCTATCATAAAAAAATTGGTATAATCAGTAGTGAGAAAAAAGATAAGTAGCGATGCCTTTTTCTGCCGGCCTCTGCAAAACAAAAAATTACGATAATCATTAAATGAACCGAACTCTTGTGAATCTTCGATACGATTTTGGCTGAAGGTTATTCTTCAAAAATGAGGTATATTTATTAAAAACTATTATATTTTTGCATTTTGTTGTTCCGATTTTCGATACGAAAGTAACAGAATTTTTGTGCTCGGGGTGTGTTTTTTTTTCTTCAGACAAATTTCGACTTTTTAACTAGCCATTTTTGACGGATTTTTTTTATATCATTCAAAAGGTATTGTTGTCCTGAGCTCAAATTTCCAAATTTGAAAAAATATTTCTTATGTGATCGTTTTTCGTAAAATTACGGGGGTTTAAATATTGCCATTTTGGCCAATTTGGGACAATTAACGCGCGATATATTTCGCGCTATTATTGCGTGAACGGAGAGCTAATCCATCAAAGAAACCGTTGCGAATTGGTCAAAAGAAGCTTATTTGCCATAATTGGTTTGTTACAAGGAGCGAAATCTATCCCTTTGTACTTTATATGGCGTGTGGGGTGATGATTTTCACTTAAAAAATTTCAAGTTTTAGAATTTTTTTTTCATTATGTTTTTTTTTCATTGAATTTTTAAATGTTATAACTGCTTCATAAACCTCAAAAGGCAGTCGGAACATTCAGGGCTTCGCCGTGATACAAGTAGTTTTGTTTATTTTAGAATTTTTTCCTTGCTGCCACACAACACAGTAGTTATGCAATTACACAGTTTACTATACCGAAAACAAAGTTATTGAACAGGCTTGAAGCCAGATGGATCAGCAGGAACAATGACTGACTAACTCTAGCTTTAAATTTTTTTTTTTTGAGAAGCAAACCTTAATGAACCTAATGTTTTTGTTGGCACGTTATCACAGACACTTTACTGAATGAACCAAATCAATTACAGCAAAAAAAGTATTAGGAAGAGGAGGAGGCTTCGTAATTCAAGGAAGAAAGAGAGGTGAAGTGAAAATGGTCAATAAAACATGCTCAAAAGAAATTCGAAAACAAACCGCAACAAAAAACAAAACTAAAACCAACCTAATTTAAAATAACAGCTATAAACAAACCGCAAAAACCGAGAAATAACAAATTTATTGATTTCCTATTGACACACGTAATTGATCTACGATAAGATTCGGAAAGAAAGCTAATAATATGCAGAGATCTGAACATCGGTAATTCTGAGGATTCAGAAAAAACTTAGAAATTGACTGAAGTTGATATCCTCAAATAAACATTTTCAATTTTGACTTAGGTCTTGTGGTATAGTGACGTTTTTATGCTTGTCATTACGTCAGATGTAACTTATGTAATTTGTTCCATTTTGGATACCAAGGTTGTTGACGACCTTCACACCAGCGTGAAGTTAGTGCTATGATACTCATTCACTCTCTATATCTTCCTATGAAAGATTTAAATTGATATAAAATTAGAATTGTCATGACATCATTAATTAATTTCTTCTATATACAAGATGAATTA